TTTTTTTTTTTTTTTTTTTTTGAAACTGGCTTTATTACTGTTATAGCACTCATATGAACAAGAAAACAAAAGTGATCTATAACTTATAATAAAAACAAATGCTTTAATGGCTGAGTTTCCGTCTCTTCTCCTTTCTCAATACTCTTTCTCGCCTTTCCTCTTCTTCTATCAACCGAAGTTGTTCCAAGTCTTCTTTCTTCGCAAGTTTCTCGCTGTTATCAAACAAACAAACAAACATGAACTTTGGTTTCCCGTGAAAATATTCAAAACTTCTTATAACATTGCTTCTTGTAATGGAGGTTAAAGATATATAAAAAAACATGCATGTAAATACGTACCTTCGTTTCTCTTCCTTGATGATATCTTCTATGCTAGCTTCCATGCCTCTATCATCATAATCTAAATCACGCCCGGCGAAACGATCAGTCTTGCACATCTCTCTAACCATTCTCAAGGCCTCTTCATCTTCTTCTGACACCTTCTTCTTCTTCTTCAGTTGATGAGCTTGCTTCAATGGTGGTTTGCTAACCATCGTGTGGTGTTTCAAAGAAGACAGTGCTTGTTGTCTTGGAACCATTTGTGAAGACATTTTGTTTTCGCTGGAAACTTTCCTCTGTTCCACCCTTTGTTGGTTAAGATCAGATGTCAATGACTTTGATGAAGAATGTGGCTTTTGAGTTAGCTTCTTTTTGTTGTCCACTGGTTCAGATTTTCTTGCAGGAGCTAGTTTTGCAGAACAAGGCTTTGTTTGTGGTTGACCTTTAATAGATGAGTCTGGTCTTGAACACACTCGGATGCCTGAAGAATCCGGTCTTGATTGGCCTCCTCTGGAACTTGGTCTAGAGTTAGGAACAGGTGCTTTAAGAGAATAAGGTGGTTCCATTATGGGAACAGGAAGCTCGGCATCATCAGATAAAAGGAAAGAGTAGTCTCTTGATTCTTTAAGCTTCTTAGCTTTTCTTTTCAACTGTTACAAGAATAAAATGGCATATTAATATTAGGAAAAAGTTTACCTTATTAAGCAAAACATCAAATAGATGATTGTGTTTGGAAAGTTCACCTCATTAGCCTCTGAGTCACTCGTTGGAACAGAACTCTTGTTCTGCACGCATTACACAAAAGCAATCTCATTAGCATGTTAACAAGACTTGCAAAAAGTATGAAACAGAAACGGTTGCAATGTAATAAATGTGATGGAGACTTACAGTTTGGATCGGGCCAAGTACTTTAGTGGCAAGAAGCTCGTCTTTTAAAAGTGGTTTGCTTTCTTGCAAAACTCTTGAAGCGATACCAGGTTGAGAAGGGCCAAAGAAAGAACCAAACCTATAAGAAAAAAAAACAGAGTTATAAGAAATATTCAATTCTTGCTTTATATTATATGATCACAAAGCAGCATTGAGGAAATATCACTTACTCGTGTAGTTTTCTTTTTCTTGGATTTGAGTCTGATGAGGTTGGAGCAATATCGTTTACGTTTTGCGTCTTTTGCCTGATCGAGTCCTTAATCCGTTGACGAAATTCAAGAAACTCTGCTTCAGACCGGTGCCTAAGTTCTGCAAGATAGCTTGACATGGTTGCTTGTCCTGCAAGTAGAAACCATATTAAGAGATTTTTATCTACGATTAGAAGGTGAAACCAAGGAAACAAAACTAGGGTTTCTGGTTCCCTAATACATGAGGCTCGATACGAAAATCTCAAACTAATCTTAGGGTTTAGTATTTCTAGGAGATGTTCGATACAATATAGAAACGAGAAAGACAGTTTCAGTTAGGTTTGGTCAATGAAATCGAAAGTAACTTTCGGAACAAGAAACTTTTTAGCACAGCGTGGTGATGTGATTTAAAGAGTAGCTTACTTTGAGAAACGACTCCACACACGAAGGATGCGACGGTCTCCAAGAAGCTTCTTCTTTTTGTTTAGTAGAGAGACTCGAGATAGAGAGAGAGCGAAACAACAAGAAATACAAAAACAAAGACGGTGAAGCTTTTATAGGCCATCGGATTTCCATTTAACCGTCTCGTAATTTCCTTTTTTCTTTTCCCACTGTGATTTTATTAACACTTTTATATTCGTAATCCTTAGATAATATCTGGCTATTTTCAAATACCTGATCATTGTTTAATTTTTATTTTAAAGAACATATATGTTAATCCACACAAATATAAATTTTATTTGTTTAATAAATTAATATTTATTCTACCCATTTACATTATCAAAATGGACCAGGACTTAAATATTATCAGTAGCCTACTTTTTGCTAAATTTCCTCTTAAATTATTTTTGTTCATTGAAACAGAAGAAGATCACCCGTAATTAGGCCTACCCGTAATAGACTTAACGAAATTAAAGTGATGATTGTTTTCTTCGTTTTTAGATTTTAGATTTTGGTTTTTGGATTTTGGTTTTTACTTTTTAGATTTTAGTTTTTGGTTTTTGATTTTTGATTTTGTAGTCGTTTTTAGTTTTTTCTTAAAAAAACATGAATGTTTGTTTTAGATTTTGGTTTTTACTTTTTGGTTTTTGTTTTCAAATTAATAAAATATCTTATTATTAGTGAAACAATTATTTTGCAAAACTAAAATATAAAATACTATTATCCAAACACACATAAAATATTTAATAAAAATTTTTGAAAACAAAGAAGGTAAATACAAATAAAATTAAAATCTCATATAATTTTTTTTGCAAATATATGCTTAGTAAATTTTATAAAAGGGGGGGGGATATTCTTAATTATTGTTAATACTAAGTAAAAATCAGAAGAATGGGAAATATAATTTATAAATATGAAATAGTAAAAAAAAACTAGCTCTAGTTAATATCAAGTAAAACCAAAAAATAATATTACTATAGTTTATAGGTTTTAAATACTAAAAGAAAAAAAAAACCTAATTTCTCTAAATAAAATCAAAATTTATTGAACAATATATATATATATAGCTTATTGATAGATGACTAACTCCAAATAAATAATTGAGCTTATTGATAATTTTCAATTTTTTTCTGAATGATTGTGTATTTTACATCAGTTTATTGTTACATGTGTTTTCCAAGAAAATAATTAGTATAGGGGATGCCTTAATTATATGTGCTCAGGGTTCGGATTATAAACATTACTATACGTGCATTTATTTTTTAAATACCCAACGGTAGTTTTTGTTGGATTAATAGTTTTTTTATTTGTAATAAAATAAATATTAAAAACGTTGTAAGCAAAAACTATGAAAAAGTGGATTTTGGTTTTTGCTTAAAAATAAACAGTTATTTAGAAAACTAGTTTCCCTAGATTTTAGAAAAAACTATTTCACCAGAATCTTGATTGGCAAATAAAATGGTTTTTCAAAAACAAAAGCCAAAAACCAATTCAAAATCCACAAACAATCAACCTCTAAATGACAGCAGATGAAATCAAATCATAAAGCTAAATTACAACAGATGAAATCAAATCACATTAATGATCATATTTCATATCCACCGTATTTAAAATATAAAATATAAAATTTCCTTCTCCTTCTCTATTTAATATGCTTCAACTCTCTCTCTTTTCTATCACCGATAAATCATGACGAAAATATTTGTTGTCTGGGACAAGGAAGGTTGTGATGTACATGGCAGAACTCTTTCTGATCTTGAGGCGAATATCACGAAGACTTTGAAGGCATGTGATCCGACCTTTGAGTTATCCGAACTAATTGATGTAGGACCTCTTTAAGGAAAGCCATCGGATGTTCCTACTAGTGTTCCTACTAGTGTGACCAGATACATTCATCTTCCCTTTGAAAACATACCTTGCCAAGTTGAAGAATTCAAATACATAGTTCTAGATTATACGAAGGGGAGAAACGATAGTAAGTTTTTTTTATCAGTTAAATTAGTTAGACTGTAAGTATGCAACACAATTTAAATTTCCTAACACAAAATGCTTATTTTCAGTTTTTCTTTTCTTTATGTTTCTCATTTTCATAATACCATGCTAATAAGTACATATTTATAAGTGATAGTTGTTGGAGTTTCCTGGTTCTTAGGAATTTGAATAAGTCATTAAACTGAGTCAGTTTGTTGGCATCTTTTTAGGAGTTTGTTTCGTTAGTGCTAGTTATGCTTTCAAGATCTATTGAAATGATCATTGTACGATGTTTATCTTTAAGCAATAAGAGTAATTAGAGTTTAACCCGCACGCTCGTGCGGAAATTGTGCACTTTCATTTATGTCAAAATTTGATATATATGATAAATTTCTTATGTGTTTATTCTCCTCTACCTTTTTTAACAGAAAAAATCAAGAGAACGACGGACATTGCTGACATAATTATTGTCATGGAGGTGTTTAGACACATGATTCAAGCTGGTGGGATGAACGTGTTGATCATCGCCGGTGATGCCGATTTTGGGAATTGTCTGAGGTGATTTGCGACAGAGAAGGATTTCAACATGATGTTGGCCTATCCAAAAGAAGAAAGTGATGAAATCAAAAAGGTAGCAAATCATGCTTGGATGTGGAGTTCGAATGATCCTAATGATGCAGAAAAGGTTATGATAAATGGGGCAGGTTTGATGTATTAGAATGGTATTTCGTGTTAGTTTATGTTATCATTATCTTTGTGTGTGTTGTCTTTTGTTTTATGTTGTGTGCAAATGTTAACTTTGAATAAAAATGTTATCGAATTCAATGATTTTGTTTTCAAAGTGTACAATTTTGTCTATTTGGTCATTAACAAATCCTCATAAATGAAACTGACAAATCTTATTTACTATAAAATGTTATGTTTCATCACATTTTTTATTATACCCCTTTTCTCCATATTTTCTCATAATTAATTATTTTGTTCAAATATTCATCAAATTTTAATACAATCACTCTTAGAGTCGTTAAAGGTATTTGTAAGAAAAATACTCGATTCAACGTGTAATAGACTAATAGATATTGCATGTAAAACATGACAGTAATAGTTTGCAACTTTGCATTGTCCTTTAAAACATACTAAAAACTTAGATGCGATGTAACATGATGGGATCCCCTTTTGAGATCTCCTATTAGGATTTTTTTCTTTGCGAATAAAACTACATTTTCTTTCCATGATTAAAAACCCAAACTCGTGTGTGGGAAAAAATGGTGCACGCTCTCTGAAATTTCAAATAATTCGAGTTTGCTAAAGTTGAAGCAGCTACCTACTTAAGTTATAAGAGCACAAAACATGCCAAGGGAAAAACATCACATACTATGATATGGTGAGTGGAGCAAATGATTTGAGTTCTTGTCTTTCTTTGGTTTTGTATTGAACGCCTCTGATTACTCCGTTTTCTTCAACCAATGATGTCACTGTTCCTTGCTCCATCCGAACACTTAAACAAAACAAAAAACTCGAGTGACTTCACTATTTATGAGAACAAATAAAACAGTTTTGTATAATGGACTATAAATTGTTGAAAAAACTCTAATTGCTATAAGAAATTTTGCAAATTAAAAATAAAAATGGACGTAGTGCAAATGTTCCTCTTACACATGACTAGAGACGGCACTGGTTCTATAGTAATAAGCTAAACTAAAATGATGTGTGATTAAAAAACATTTTACTTGGGGAGTGTAGAAGCTTTCTCTCGCATCCTCTGCACGAATCTACCATTGTGGAAGCTGCGACCAGCAACATCAGAATCAAACTGATCCAAAGGGTAAGAGAGTTTGGTGTGTTTCCCATCTTTGAAGAGTGCATAACCAAGAACTCTCTGCGCATCTATCTCCTTTACACAATCTACAAAATTCAAGAAACTCTGTTTCAGACCGGTGCCTAAGTTCTGAAAGATAAAAGCTTGACATAGTGTGTGATTGCCCTGCAAGTAAATAGAAGGACGAGAATTAGGGTTTCTGCGTCCCACAGCAATCAAAACTTGATCAAAAAAAAAAAAGACACCATAGCGTGATTCTGTTTCCTTAACACATCAAGATCGAAATAGTTATTCAAACACTAATCTTAGGGTTTATAGCTTCTAGACGTACGATACGATGAAGAAACGGAGGACAGTTTCAGTTAGGTTTTGTCAAATGAAAACGGACGGTAACTTTCGAAACAAGAAACTATTAGTAGCATTACTAGTGATGATAATTTTAAAAGACGACTTACGTTGACAAAAGAATGATGAGACGGTCTCAGAGGAAAATCGAATAAGCTTCTTCTTTTGTTGTGGAGTCGTGATTATATTAGTCGAGAGCAAGAAATACAAATAGATAATTGTTAATCGTTTTATAGGCGAAAAAATTTCCTTTTTACTAGTTAAGTGGTAAATTTACGTTTGTTTTCAATTTCTTTTCCTTTGTTGTGCACTTTTAAATCATACGAATTTGCTTGATAGATATATAGATGAAATCAAATCACATATGGTGGTCATATTTCATATCAAATTCTCGACACAGGAGGATAAGAACACACAAAGTACCATTTATTCTTAATATATCATATATCATATCATGTTTTTTTTTCGACAACATCATGGTAAGTTCTCTCTCTCTCAAAAGATAGGGCCAGCAGCGAGAATCTCCTCCGTAAGCTTACCATCCACACCAATCTTGTGGTTAGC